AATATTTGAGTAAACATGATCCAGGGTGTTATTTCCTCTCGTAGGGCATTTCACATGTTGTACAAATTTAGGCAGCACAGCTTTGTTGAAATCCCCTGCAATGATGTGTACTCCCTCTGGGTATGTCCGTTGCTGTTCAGATAGCTTGTCGTGCAAGGGTTTGCAAGGGCTGAGCTAGCATTAGCGTCTGGTGGTATGTATACTGCTGTTATTAGCACTGCAGGCAGTTCTCTGGGCAAGTAGAAAGGTCTGCACATGACAGACATTGCCTCTATGTCCGGGGAGCAGACTGTGGCGATGATCTTGGTGTTTGTGCACCAGTTGTTATGTGTGTAAATGCACAAACCTCCTCCTCTGCTTTTCCCCGCTGTAGACTTTCTGTCGCTCCGGTGCATTGTGCAGCCTGCTAACCTGCTAATTCCCTCAGAGAATTAGGGAATTAGCCATGTCTCCGTGAGGACCAGGATGTCGCAGACGATTGGCTGTGCGGCGAGAAGTGGGTTCAGTTCGTCTGTTTTGTTGACGACCGACCGTGCGTTGGTCAGGAAGATGCTCGGGAGCAGTGGTTTGAAAGGCTGCTTCTTTAGCCTGGCTAGCAGGCCCAACCGGCATCCCCGCTTTTGTTTGCGTTCCTTCCGCCGCCTGCGTGTCTTGGCAGAGCCGATAACAATCCATGGAGCGCCCGATGTTCTCGCTATCTCCGGGGGGATGTTGTGCATCCTCTGATAATCACTGGTAATGGGGATCTGGCTGTTATATCTGATCTTGCATGATTCCAGATGGTTGTAGGAAAATTTGGCTTTACAATAAGAAAAACAAAAGAAGAAGAAAAAGAGGAGAACCGAAAAAGAAAGGCACCTAAGTGGAGAGCATAGAGCTGCTGCATCTGTGTGCTGGAGGAACTTTAGCTGTTTACCCAGGTCAGCCCGTAGCTGCCAATCAGAGGCTGTGTTGATGAGGCCGGTTGTTAACCGTGGACATGCCTGGGGTTTCTCTCCAGCCTTAATGAAAGAGATTGCCTTCTTCGGAGCGTGATGGTGCTTGCTGGTGCTGATTGCTGAGGCAATCTGCTCAGCAACTACTCTGAGCACCTGGTCATGATGCTAATGATACCGAACATTAGCCAGGCCCGTCGGGCTGCTGCTGAGGAGGTGTTCTAGGGTGCCTCTTCCAGACCAAAGGGGACAGGCAGATGTCTCGCTCTTCCCCCATTCACGGAGGTTTACTGGGCTTGGCAGGGTGTCGTATACTGCCTGCACGAGGAATCAGACACGGTGGAAGTCTGCCTGAATGATGTTTGCTCAGGTGACCTTGCGCTGCAAGGTACTGTCTCACCTTGTCCACACTCCCTGCTGCCCGAGTCCTACGGCCCTGCTTACTCGCTCATCCTCCTCACCTGCACGGACCTCTTCCTGGAGTAGCTGGTGTCTCTCCTTTCCCTGTGCCCTGCTGACCTGGGCCTTCGGAAGCACCCCAAGCCTGTTCTCCCTGTTGCTAAGACCCCCACCAGTGTCTTCTGTCTTACACGTGACTCTGCCACTTCAACTGCCTTCTCTGCCTTCCACTTTCCTTAAATGAACTATTAACATAGAATACTAACCTCGGTCCCTAAATAATGCAAGTCCTAGCTTTTGTTAACAAGGGTGCCATGAAGGTTGAAACTGAAATTCGCTCAAGGTACGACTAGGTCTAAGTGCTTTTAAG